AATCAAATAAACACTGGGAATAAACATTTTTTGTGCTTAAAATGATTACTGCATCCTTGATTTTCTACATCCTAAAATAAAGTTTCTTTTTATATGTTTCAGGTGTTGAAAATTAATCTCTTCAAAGTCTATACACCTAACAGGTAAAAATCACATATGGTTTATGCATCTTTTTCCATATACCCTCATCCACAATTGAGAGCAGGACCTATGTGATAAAACTAAGAATCCAGAGGATCTATAAACATTAAGGTGATGTCCTTGATGCTTCATAACCCATACAAGTGTATTTAAATTAGAACAATGTGAATGAGAAAAACAAAACAGGTTTCTAGTCTAGTAATTACTGGGTAGGTAGTAGAAGTAAAATTGATTTTTTTTTTTGTCTGATGATAAATCTATTTAAGGCCTTGAAAGTCACTTGTATAATTTAAAAGGGAAGCTTGTCATAACTTTGTGATATCCCTTGATCAGTAAAATTTAATGCTCAATTTCTGCTTTTTCATTTTGAGTGTAAAGGACAATGCTAATGCCATAAGTTAAAATGAAGAAGAATAGAGAAAAATCTTAAAGCTGAATACCACAATGTGCAAAATTGAGTAGAATCATGTAAATATAATAGGATAACTAAACTAATAAACAATCTCTGAAAGTAAAAAAAATGTTCAAAGTAAAACAAGAGATACTTCAGTTAACACGTAAAGGCATGAAGTTCTTTTGATTATTTAATGATTCTTTTTTGACTGATCTGAAAAAAAATAAGATTGCTCTATATCTACCTTAGTAATCTATTCATTCACCTTCCTAAAACTCTTGTCTTCTTAGTCTGACCAAAAAGAAAAGAAAAGAAAATAAAAAAGAAAAGGAAAGAAAAGAAAAGAAAAGAAAAGAAAAGAAAAGAAAAGAAAAGAAAAGAAAAGAAAAGAAAAGAAAGAAAAGAAAAGAATAGACTTTTAATAGCAGATGACTGCAGAGGGGCCATTTTCACCTTGCAGATAGATCTTTGTTATTCTGGTGTGTAAAGCAGGCCATTAGCACAAAGACATTTCTAATCTCAGTTGTACAATCCACATGGTGCACTTAACCCTAAAACTCATGTTGCATAAACTGCTCTGCTTCCATTCCTAATGACCTTGCAAATCATTCAATGTTACTGCTTGACTTGCACCTATGAATTAGGAGACTGCCAAATAACTTGATGACAAAGTTATACTTTCCCCTTTCCTGGGGGTTTACAAAAGTCAAGGTAACATCCCAGAAGAAACTGAGAAAGAACATACAATGGTAAAGATAAGCACTTTATTTGCCGTTTATAAATGCCATTTTTTAAATGCTTAAAAAAGAAAATGACTTACAAAATTCATACCTGACTTCAAGGCGGATGACTAAGAGGAAATGGGATTGCTCCAGCGGTACCAAATTTAGCCCCATGGTATTAATGACCAACAACTTCCCTGCACAGTATTCAATTAAAACTTACTTTCGGATCAAAAAGTAAACATGCCATCTACTGCTGGATTCACACTCTGAAAATTTATTAAAAGTTCTTTGTAAACTTGTGAGACCACTCAATGATGTTCAAAATTAATACTTTTAAAAATAAGATTTTTTTGATCTATGACATTTCCTGTTCAAAAAAAAAAAAAAAAGGAAAATGTCTTTTGTCCGTAGGATTCCTAAGTTTATCTCGCCTTCTCCCTAACTTCAAACAATTGAAGTATCACTTTTTTCCTTCTTCCCCTTCAGTCTAACCTCTTTAGCAAACCCCATTTGAAAAGAAGAAACAATAAATGAAGTGACAAGAGGGTTCAAGAATGAGGAGTGTGCACTCCAAGAATAAAGGGCGGTTTTATAACAGGAGATACTTTTGTTAGCAAGTGACTGACGGGTCTCCTCCCCCAGTTAAAAGAAATTCCATCGACTTCCCAAAACTGCAGAGGCCAAAAACAACTAGTCTAATAGTTCCAAAACCCCAGAGTCCGGAGAGAGCCGAGGAGGGCGGACTGGCGAGTGGGGGAAGGGGAGAAAGACCAGCAGGAGACGAAAGAACAAAAGGAGAAACCCAAGAAAGGAGAAAGGAAAGACGGGACCCGGGCGTCCAAGAAGCCAGAGAAAAGAGAGCGAGCCAGAAAGCTGGAAAGCACAACCTGGGGGAGGAAAGCGCAGAGCAGGGCAGGGCGCGCCTGGGGGAGGAAAGCGCAGAGCAGGGCAGGGCGCGCCGCTCCACGGCGCACCATGGACAGGGCTCCAGCGGCCTCTGCCCACACCCCTCTAGGGGGCGGCGGGAGAAAGCGTGAGAGACCGCGGGCGCCGACCTCGTCCCGCCCCCGGCGCCCGCAGTCCCCCCGCGGCCGGAGCGCGTCAGGCCCTGACCCATGAAGACCAAGGAGGGGGGCGATCTGCACCATCTGTCCCTGCCCGGGCCGCCCCCGGCGCCACGGCACTTCCGAACCGCACCCGGACTTTTCAGAGCGGCCACCCGCTGGCCACCCCCAGCCACAAGGGTGCGCTGCCCGCCCCCCCCCCCCCCCCCCCCCGCCCGGTGTATTTCCCGGGGGACCCTGACCTGCATTCAGTGTGGACACGCCCCTCTCCTGCAGCAGCTTTGGAACCCATAGCGTGCGGGGGCATGTTTGGTACCCCCGCTCTGCCCCCGCTCCCGGCGGGGGTCGCAGCCGAGGGGCGCGGCGTAGCTTCCCGGGATCCGGTCGGCGGACGGGAGGGGCCTCGGGGTATCCCCCCGCCGGACGCCGCGGGAAAGTTGGGCGGTCGGCCGGGCTGCAGACCGATGGCGCGGAGTGGCAAAAAAGCCTGCGACCTGCCTGAAGCAGGTGCTTTCTGCCGCGGAGGAGCCTCCTAGTACTGATTCCATGAAGAGGCTGTCTGGCGCTCTCCCGAAAGCGTGAAAAGTGCAGAGGCTCCTCGCTAAGGCGTCCCCGTGGACGCACGCAGGGCAGAGACAGCGTACACAGGGAGAGGAATAATAGCCGAGTAACGGAACTTCTCCCCGCCCGCCGGGATAAGGGGCGTGCGGGGCCAGAGGCTGAGTGCGGAGGCCCCGGCCCGTATAGACTCTTCGGGGCAACGGGATGAGGTTTTCTTTCCAGGTGGGACCGACAAAGAACACAGTGAGGGCAAGAAAATAAGAACAGAAGGCAACTCTGGGCTGGGGTAAAGACAATAGGACAGTGGAGCCCTCGGGCACCGGGAGGCGCGCGGGTGCCAGGGTGGGGTGGGGTGGAGGCACGTCCCGTAACTAAGACACAAGAGTGAGAATTCCTACTGCAAACTCGCGACCCATCCCTGCAAAAATAAACAAAAAAAATTGGAGCAAAGTGCAAAGCGAGGGGCGAGAAGCGTAGAAAACTGGAAAACCTGGGAGCTATCCTGCCTCACCCTTCTGCTGCCTGGAGACACCCCCTGCAAGCTCGCCCGGCCAGGAGTGAAGAGCAGAGGGGGCCCGCGATCTGTTCCTTCGGGACCCGCCGGGAATGGCGCGGGAGACCAGCCGGCCCGGCCAGCCCTACCCCTGAGCCCGGCCGAGCCTCGTGCCTGCGCAGCTCCCGACCGCGCGGCGCGGCACCTCCCTTCCCGGGTGCGCAGCCTGGCCCCGCAGCGGCGCGGGGAACAAAGGGACCCGGCGCCGCCCGCCCCACCCCGCCCGCGGCCCGGCCCGCGGAGACCGCCGCGTACCTGAAGCAGGGCCGCCAGCAGCGGCAGCAGGGTCCGCGGCGCTCCCACTATCCGGCACATGGAGGCGGAGAGGGGCCGAGCGAGGAGCCGGAGGCGGCGGCAGCGGCAGCAGCAGCGGCAGCACCAACAGCGGCGCGGAGACGGCTCCAGGCAGTTTCCACCCCCTTCCCTTCCCCTCCCCACCCCACCCCCTTCACCGCTGCTCTCCTCTCCCCGCCAATGGAGAGCGAGCTGATGACAAATAGCGGGCCGCGGAGTCCGCGGGACTCGCACCAGGAGTAATAAAACAGACCGAGAGATCAAGAAGCTGGGGAGGGGGCGGGTGAGGAGGCGGGCGTGCGTGTGAGGGTGTGAGAAAGGGAGAAAGAGAGAGAAAGAGTGTGTGCGTGTGTGTGTAGGCGGCCGCGGTGGCAGCGCAGGCGGCTAGGCTCCGGCCCTAAGCGCAGCGGAAGCCGGGAGGGATGCAGGCGGCGGGGACCTTGGCCGGTGTAGGATGCGGCGGTGGAAGTGGAGCGGCTGGCGCTCCCCAGGAGCTCCGCAACGCGAGGTTTCGGGCTCGTGGCTTTGCTTCCTCTGGGTCCCCTCTCCAGGGCCGCTCTGCAAGACGAAGATGCCGAGGAGAGCGCCGCGGGGAGGGCGCTTCGGGCCGTGCGCGCAGCGCCCACAAAGGGCAGCAGTCCCGCCGCCCGGAGCCTCTGCTGCGTGGGGGCTGAGGGCCGCTTCCCGGCCCCCTTTCCGGCCCCCCGGAGAGTTGGAGACTGTTCTCTGGCCTCGGCCGCGCGGGGGTGAGGTCGGGGGTCGGCGCGGCCGCTACTGCCCCGGCTCCGTCCGGCGCAGCTGCCGCCGCGGCCGCCCCTGGTGCCTGCGCGCCACCACCCGCCTGCCGGTCCTTGCCCGGCGC